CTAGCGAGATCCTATTGGCGTGTTCTAGCATGTATTTGCATATTTCCGTTAGGGAATGCCTACTCTGTGAAGTGCGCATGTGCAATAACTCAATTTGCCCTTGCACTCCTTCTCAAAAAACTCAATTTTTTAAAACTTTGGCCAAGGGTCAAGTCTACAAAGCTTAGTCCACTCTGTCCGTAACAGATTCTAGTTTTGGAAACAGAAAACTGTGTTGAGATCAAATGTTTCATCGAGGAGAAAATGTGCAGATTGTCGGCCAAAATCCATCTCGCTCCATCTTCTCCCACTGCCGGCCACTGGGCTTCCTCTCATCAACATATTGGTATTGAGTGGAAACGCCAACCGGATGCTTCACATTTTTACATCCGGTGAAATATCTGTCTTATTGTTCTATCTGTGACCTGTTCAGTTGAATTCAAAATAGCTAACTATACTGTAGACTGGCATGGACTATTAAGCTAGCTAGCTAACTGGTAGGCTGCTAGCTAACTAACTTGTAGGCTGCTAGCTAGCTAACTGGCAGACTGTTAGCTAGCTAACTGATAGGCTACTAGCTAGCTAACTGCTAGGCTAGCTAGCTAACCGGTAGGCTATTAGCTAGCTAACCGGTAGGCTGCTAGCTAGCTAACTGTTAGGCTACTAGCTTGCTAAGTGGTAGGCTGCTAGCTAGCTAACTGGTAGGTTGCTAGCTAGCTAACTGGAGGCTACTAGCTAACTAACTGGAAGGCTGATAGCTAGCTAACTGGTAGACTACTAGCTAGCTTTTGATGGTTATGTTGCTAAAATGAAATAAAGAGAAACTCAAACATGGTTTCTCATGTGTGCACTGTGCATGCCAGGAAGAAGTCAGTGCCGGTCCAGGGTTGGGGTCGGTGGGTCCAGAGAAGGGACAAGGACCGGGTCGGGCTGGGAATCTGTCTGGGCCCGTCAGGGTAGCAATGGAGCTCTGGGTCCCATTTAACCTCCTCTTTCATCATTGCATTATTACAACATTAACCCTGATCACAGTTTTAAGGGGTAGTAAGTTCATTGCTCTCTTTCTCTTCAGCATGAGTAGCGAGGATGTCCTAAGCAGAGATAAAAGGGGGGTGGAGAGAGAGAGAGAGAGAGGAGAGAGAGGGTGGAGAGAGAAAGAAGAGAGAGAGAGAGTGGGAGGAGTGGAGCGAGGAGAGCGAGAAAGAGAGCAGAGAGAAAGAGCAGAGAGAGAGAGGGGAGAGGGAGAGAGAGAGAGAGGAGAGATGAGTAGAGAGGAGAGAGCTCGGAGCGCAGAGAGAAGAGAGAAGAGAGAGGGGATAGGAACGAGAGAGAGAGAGGAGATGAGAGAGAGAGACAGGAGAGCGGATGAGATAGACGAGATAGGAGAGAGAGAGGGGGGAGAGAGAGAGAGCGGAGAGAAGGAGAGAAGGAGAGGAGAGGAGGAGAGGAGAGAGAGAGACAGAGGGCAGAGGAGTGAGCGGAGAGAGAGCGGAGGGAGACGAGTGATGAAGGAGAGAGAGAGAGGAGGAAGAGAGAGAGAGAGAGAGGTGGGAGAGAGAGAGAGGAGAGCCCAGAGAGAGAGAGAAGACGAGAGTGTAGAGAAGGAGAGAGGAAAGAGAGATAGAGGAGAGAGAGAGTGGGGAGAAGAGGAGAGAGAGATGAAGAGAGAGAGAGAGAGAGCGAGGAGAGAGAGGAATGTGAGATAAAGCAGGAGCAAGTGGGAGGCAGAGAGAGCGAACGGATGTCAGAGATAGAGAAGCAGAGAAGAGGATGGTCGGAAGGTAGGTATGGGAGATACACATATACACCAGGAATATGTTACTTGCATCAGACCATGTCAAAAAACATCGGAATCAGTCATGTCCTGCGCTTACGTGTCTGTTGCTCTCAAAATCGGAGCATGAGTCACTCTTAAAAGTGAATCATGCGCGCTGTGTGACCCTATTGACATGATATGATGGTGCGGTATGGGGGTAGTCCCTAGATAGCCCTTTCCAAAAGGGTGG